CTGGGCCTGCGCGCTGTCCCTCAGCTCTTCAGCTCTAGGCTAGCGCTCTACCACTTGAGCCACAGTGCAACTTCTGTTTTTTTCTGCTTATGTGGTGCTGAGGAATCAAACCCAGGGCCTCATGCATGCAAGACAAGTACTCTCCCACTGAGCCCTCCTCCTCCACATTCTGCAGGTATTAGATGACAAGAATGTGCGCCGGCGGTTTCGAGCAAGTAACTACCAGAGCACCACCCGTGTGAAACCCTTCATCTGTACCATGCCCATGCGGCTGGATGATGGGTGGAACCAGATTCAGTTCAACCTATCCGACTTCACCCGGAGAGCATATGGCACAAACTACATCGAGACCCTGAGAGTGCAGGTACTTGCCAGTCATGGATGCAGCCCCGTGGTGGGGTACGCCCTATCTGAGGCTGCTGTGGCTCATGTGGCAGAACAACTGGGCTGTCTGGCCAAAGTTCCTGAGTTACTGTGCAAGAAGCTCTGGTCTCAAACAGGGCTGGGAAAGATGGAGACGTCTGCTCAGATCTAAGGGGTAAATTCAAGCCACGTGCTGGTGGCTCACACCTGTAATCCTAGCAACTCAAGAGGCTAAGATCTGAGGATTGCAGTTCAAAGCCAGCCTGGCCAGGAACGTCCATGAGACTCTTATCTCCAGTTAACCATGAAAAAAGAAAAGAAAAACTAGAAGCAGAGCTGTGGCTCAAGAGGTAGATAGAGTACTAGCCTTAAACAAAAAAGCTCATGGACAGCTCCCAGGCCCTGAGTTCAAACCCCAAGACCAGCACAAAAAAAGAAGCAGGTAAATTTAGGAAGCAAAACCCCCATTTTCCCTAATCTACTCTTAAGCTGGGCCAAGATGCTTGAGATGAGGTTTGACAGTGCTGTGGGAAGGCCATGGGAGAGCCTCTAGGAGAGCAGGAAGAGAGGAAAGCAGTGCTGTCAAGCCTGTCAACGAGTCTTGCTTCCACAGATCCACGCAAACTGCCGCATCCGCCGAGTGTACTTCTCGGACAGACTCTACTCAGAAGATGAGCTGCCAGCAGAGTTCAAACTGTATCTCCCAGTTCAGAACAAGGCAAAGGTAAGCAGCTTCCTCGGCGGAAGCCAGGAGCATGCTGACAGTGCTCCAGTCCGAGAGGTCAGCTGCTGGGCCTCCTAAATTGACAAGGATGGAGGAGCCTTTCTTCAGCAGGAGCCTGGAGTCGGGGGAGCCTGCTGTCTCTACTACTACCAGCATTGCTCCTGGGCAGCCTGTGCTTCTGGCTCACAGGCTTCTTTGTTGTGGGGCTTGAACTCAGGGCTTGGGTACTGTTCCTGAGCTCTTGTGCTCAAGGCTAGCACTCTACCACTTTGAGCCACAGTCCCACTTCTGGTTTTCTGGTTGCTAATTTGGAGATGAGTCTCACAGACTGTCCTGCCCCGGGCTGGATTTGAACAGCAACCTTCAGATCTCAGCCTCCTGAGTAGCTAGGATTATAGGGGTGAACCACCATCACGCAGCTCACAGACCTCTTTGAAAACTGGCGTCCACTAAGCCTCTTTATTTGCCCCCAGCACTTAGATCAATAGGTCCCGGGTCACTGATGGGTGTCTGCATGCATTCCTGCCTGCCACAGACGCAGGCCTTGCCCACAGCCAGGCGTCCATGCAGGCATCAGCAGAGACAACGCCTGCTGCACTGATCCTGTGTTTTCTAATAACTAATGCTTCTTTTCTGTCTTTTCTTCAGCAATAACTGGAATGCAACTCAAGGGAGCTGGACCCTGGACATGATTCTTAGTTTATAAAGGAAAGTATCTGGAGGACAGTGCAAAAAATGATATATAATAATTCACCTTGCTGTGGTTTATTTACTACTTGGTGTCCGTTGTCATGGATACCAGGGACATGCCATGACTCAGCTAGTTGCATTGTAAGTACCGAGGGGAAAGCAGTGCTTTGAGTGACCTGCGATTGTGGGGGTCCTGCTGCTGCCTGCCTCAACATGGGGACCCCTCACCTCGAACTCACAGAACTAAGATGTCCTGCAAGGCAGCCTCACACCAATATTCCTTTCTATGCTTTATTCTTTATTTTATATATTATCGAAGTATATGTATATGCTGTGTGATACTCTAATCTGGAAATGAATAAAATACTATATTCTTGGTTTGTAAATTTGTTCTTAGTTTGCCTTTCTAAATGATGGTGTTCTCTTTCCTTTATGAAATGCGAGTTGAACTATTTCTAGCATGCCATATACTTCATGCTGTGACATACTCTGCATGAAGCACAAGAACAAGATCTCCGTACTGATCTGGATGACTTTTTTGTGTATATTCTGGTACTGGAGCTTGAGCTTAGTGGTTCATGCCCTCACATTGTTTTTTTTGCTCAAGACTGGCACTTCTTACCACTTTAGCCAGCCTTGAGCATAAAACCTTGAAGTCAGAGTTTCTCAGGCTTTACTGCTCAGCCTGGCTTTGAACCACAATCCTTAGATTTCAGCCTCCTGAGTAGGATTACAGAAATGCACCACTGTGGCCTGGCTTAAGCACTTGCATATATGCAATTCTGTGTGTGAGATTTGGTAGGGAAGCAGTTTGGGATAGCAGAGAATATATAGCTAGCCCTGGATAAAAACTCTCAAAAGGACAGAAATGGTACAGGGAGATCAAAATGGGTTCCATATCACCTGTCACCTGTATAATTTTATACTAAGCAAGAGTTCTTTGGAAAGGTGGTACTTATGTAAAAAAAAAATGTCCATGTCAGGGACAAAAGGCCATTCCAGTTACTGTGCTACTCGTCCCTAAAGGAGTTGGTGGTGGTATTCCTCAGGCTTGTCATTGCTTGTTTTCTGAGACGCTAAAGGGTAAGGAACACCCTTCAAACTCCTCTTCCTCCTCCCATGTGCTCTGGGTAAGCATGACCAGACCTCTGGCTTCATTGCCACTTTGTGACCATGCTGAGTGCTTGTTTCTCACTGTTGGCCAGCCTTGGCATTCACATGGCTCAATTAAGACAACATCCCCCTTTCTCTTCAAGTTCCAGGCAGACTTTAGCCACCATTCCTCTGTGATACCCCTGTTGTTCAAGAATCCCTGGCAGATAGCATCACAGAACACCTCAGCCCTGGTAACAGCTTCTCCAGGGCCGACCCTGGTCAAATCTGATTGGCTCTGCATGCTAGGTTCTAGCTTTCAAGGTTCAGTTAAAGTCTCCCACCCTGGGAGCACCCTGGGCCAGTGACTGCCTTAGAGCTTCCTGTCTCTCCAGCCACACTATAGTGCAATCTTCCTGCAATCTGTGCTCTTGTGGCGTGAAAGATGCCTTTGTGGGGCTGAGAAATCCGGGGTCAGCCTCTCTTCTGGTGCTGGACACTGGCAAAATGTCCCGAGCTTCTGACAAATAGGCTCTCTCCTCACACAGAGCCCCTTTCACCAGGCACTTGTCAGACCTCGCATGGCCATTACCTCATCGCCCTCCTCGGCAGGCGGCAGCTGCCAGCTCCCTAGATGCTTCGCATACCCATCTGAGAGGAAGCCAGAGGGGCTGCGGGTGATGTGTGTATTATCTAGTTGGAGCTAAGCCAGCGGGAGTGACTGCAGCCACCATTACAGGGCCCCTTGCCTTCATCTTTCCAGCTCACTAGGGAGAGGCTGAGGGAGGAAGGCAGGGAAGAGCCGGCTGCTGGGGCCAGAGGCCTCCCTCGAGCCGCTTGTGCTGGGGTGATCTTGGTAATTGGAGCAGGCAGAGCAGCCTTACCCAGCAGCTTGGAAGGCATGATGTGCTCCAGAAGGAATTACCTTCCGAGTGAGGGAGCACATTCATTGGTGTGAACTTTGCCAGAGCAGCAAGCAGCTGTTCCCACCAGGGCTCATATGGGGAGGGCAGGCCCACCATGTCCCTCACTGCCTCTGGTCCAATGACTGCTTCCTCTATAGCCAGCCTTGGAGACACTGGCACCAAGCCAATGTTTTCCTGCAGTGTTTCTGAGGGATACAAAGATGCCAGAGAACAGCTTAGGCTGCTTTCCCTGCCTCCATGGCTTCCGCCCAAAGCCCTGAGCAACGGGGAATTTTCTGTAGAAAATCCTGAGGCTCTTACCTGTGTCTTTCTAGCCCCTTTTTACTGATGGGGATGTTGGAGCCTAGAGACAGGCCAGCCCCTGTGATAGTGATCCAGTTCACTTGATACGTCGTAGGCCATTCCTGGTCTCCTTTGCGTTGGTGTCCCCCTGGCTCAGGACTAGAGTCCCGGCTCACACCGGTATCCTAGCCACTCAAGAGGCTGAGATCTGAAAATCATGATTCAAAGCCACTGTAAGCAGGAAAGTCAAGATTTAAACCAGCAAAAAGCCAGAAATGGAGCTGTGGCTCAAATGGTAGAGAGCCTTGAATGAAAAAAAAAAAAAAGCCATAGCTCAGAGGCCCTGGGTTCAATTTTCAGGACCTCCCTCCCCCTCCCCTCACCCCACACAGCACATAAAAGACTGTATTGAACCAAAGAGTTTATAAAACCTAGTCGCCTAGTAAAGTTAAATAGAGCATAATTGTGTCCTTGATAAGCCCATTGAGCATACATGTTTATTTTTAATTTATTTTTAGTCTGTTGTGGGGCTTCAACTCTGGGCCTGGGCGCTGTCCCTCAGCTCTTCAGCTCAAAGCTAGTGCCCTACCACTTGAGCCACAGCGCCACTTCCCAGCCCGAGCATGAATCTTATTAGTGTGCATACAAATCACCTGGGGACTTTTTCAAAAATGCAAATTTTGGGCTGGGAGCCAGTGGCTCACACCTGGAATCCTAGCTACTCAAGAGGCTTGAGGGGCTGGGAAGGTGGCTCAGTGGTAGAGCGCTTGCCTTGCATGCCTGAGGCCCTGGGTTCGATTCCTCAGCACCACATAAGCAAAAAGAAAAAGAAGCCGGAAGTGGCGCTGTGGCTCAAGTGGTAGAGTGTTAGCCATGAGCTGTAGAGCTGAGGGACAGCGCGCGGGCCCAGAGTTCAGTCCCCAGTACCGGCAAAAAAAAAAAAAAAAAAGGCTGAGATCTGAGGATTGCGATTTGAACAGCCCAGGCATGTGCAAGAGGCCTTCGAAGGACTTGCAGCCTGGACACCAGGCTGCAAGGAAGGGCTGGGGGATGAGCATGAGTTAAGCCAGGATCCCAAGAGTTCAGATCTCCCCAGCTCCTTTCCAGCTGCTGCCCCGGGCACCAAGGTGGCCCAGTGTGGGTCATACATAGGCCAGGCTGGGATGCTGGTGAGACAACTTTGCAGATGCCCCTTTTACCTTCCCCAGTTCCTCTAAGAAAGGACCTTTTTCTCCAGGGTCAAGACAGCCCTGGACGCAGGGGTGGGGCAGCCCCTCATTCCCATAGTCCTGCCACCTGCTCTGTCCAGCTCTGCGGGTGGGGGCTCGCTTGTTCCGGTCCCCACCCAAATCCCTTGCAGCTGTTCTCCACCCAGAGAAGACACTTGTGTCAGAGGGAAGGGAAATGGTTATTTTTGTGGGTTATTGGCTTCTGACCAGGAAACATGGATGGCCGTGTCAAGAGCTGGCAATGGTGTGGATGAGCTCAACTGCGGCCAAACCCAGGCAGCCCCTTTGTACAATGACTTAAAGATCAGTCGTGGGGCTTGAACTCAGGGTCTGGGCACTGTTCCTGAGCTTTTTTGCTCAAGGGCAGTGCTCTATCGCTTGAGCCACAGCATCACTTCTGGTTTTCTGGTGGTTAATTGGAGATAAGAGTCTCATGGACTCTTTTCCTGGCTAGGCTGGCTCAGGTTTCAGCCTCCTCAGTAGCTTCAGTCACAGGCATGAGCTAACAAAGCCCAGCTAAAGATAATTTCTTTACAAAAGAAAGAATCACAGACTACTTAGGGAAGGATTATCACATGGTGGGCGTTGTCATGGTGACAGTAAATGTCCCTGAGGTATGGCTTGCCTAGCATCCCTCTTGGGCCATGACTGTCTTTACTTCCATGGAGAGAAGAAATGATGACATCTTCACAGGGGAGGAAGAGTGAAGGTATTAGAAATGTAGGGAGGTCAAGACTACACTTGGCCATGCACCCCAAGAATGGACAGTCCCCTATCCTGGGACAGAGATGGTGCTCAAAGCAAATCTGAGGAACAACTGCAGTGAATGAATGAATGACAGTTTCTTGAGTGAAGCCCTGCCTTGCCCTAGGCCCTGAATGAAGATGACTAGAAAGTGGACTCCTCGGGCTGGGAAGTGGCAGGCCATGGCTGTCAGAGTGTGCTCTCTGGGCTTTGAACAGGGAAGCCGAGAATGCAGGAGGAACAGAGGGGACTCAGGAGGGAGACATGATGGAACCGCCATCTCTGCAGGTGTTCAGGAATGATGGAGTTTCCAGGCAGCTTGAGTATGGAGGTGGGGGGTGGGGGGAGAGGGAGCAAGTGGCCCCACTCCACATCTGTCCAGGTCATAGGGTCCAACTGGCACAACAGGAGCCAGCTGTCCCTGAGTGACTCCTCTTCAGAGCAGAGTCAAGTGCCAGACCTGAGGCCAGGCAGAGTGGGGCTCCAAATCGTCCAGCCCAGCTCTGCCCTGATGGCTTCATGACCACTACACTGGGGCAGACCTCAGGTTCTGCAAATAAATGACAAGGGGGTGGGGCCAGGTACCTGTGAGGATGCTGTGGGGGCAACAGACAGGAACGGGGTCTGGACTGCAAGTCCCCCATCCCCGGCTCTGCCCCTGCTGGATTCATGACCCTGCAGCTCACATCTTTCACCTTGTGCTGGGCCCCTAGGCCTCATCCTTGCCCCAAGGGGCTCTCATCCATCTCATAGGAGATGGACAGGCTGACAAGCAGTTTGAAGGCAGGTAACCCCAAGAGGAGACTGAGCCCTCCAACCTCTCGCTTCCTGTGCAGCTTCTTTGCAGAGGGTTGCGGGTCATGTCTGTGGCTGAGGGTCATGTCTGTACTTGTGGGCTTTCCTACACCCACTGCTGTCCAGTGTTACAGGTGGGTGCTGAGGCTGAGGAAGGGTTAGGAGCCTCCTGATGAGACACAGCTGCACAGCTATGGTCAGCCTTGCAAATGTGAGGCTTGGGGGCGTGGTGGGGACTTGCTCTAATGGGAATCTGCCATTGGGATCCATCCAACCCACAAGAGAGGACCCATCATCCTGAGCACCAGAGCT